TGTCAAATTATCCCGCAAACCATTTTCTCACACCTACATCTACGAAGGCTTCAGTACAAAAGTTCTGGTCATTCAGGCCTGTGGGCTGCCATGAATTTTGAAAAACACAACTGCACACAACGGGTTTACGCTACAGCTAATAACCAGTTCTGCTGATATTAGTACTGCGACAAGAAACACTAGTGTCAATCAATTACAGCTGTGCATCTACTTCTGTCTGCCCAGGATCTCTCATTTTTTAACCATTTCATAAAGATGGCAGCCAAATTTATGTCTTGTTGATTCGTATTCTTCTCAGTCGCAACCCCACCACCAACCATGTAAAAATATCTGTCAAGAAAAGCTTACCATTGGTGGCTTGTTACTGTAAACTGTGATAAATAAACCTACAAATCGAAAGCGATACCATGGCAGTCGACACCTATTACAGTCGCTAACAATCGAAATCTTCAATGGACATACATGTAGCATAATTTTCTTAACCTAAAAAAAATTTTCAAAACGAACTAATAAATGATTCTCAGATTTCACAAACATAAGACAATTAACCATAAAACGACGCTTCAATGGTGTTAAACACAAGGATAGACAGACGGCAAAGTATTAGAACTGCCTGATGTCTACCGCACAAGCCCATTATCCGTGAAACGCCATTTTTATCGAGAAAAATATACACTTTTGAAATGAACTTCACAAAAACACCTATTATGTTCATTAATTGGTCCTTACAGGCTCAATCTAGATCGACTGTCACTTCGAAGTACATCCTGTGGAGGCCTGTGACTGTATTTCAGTTTAATGCGATCGACAGGTAACACGACTAATTGACCCCTTTATTCGTTAATTTATCCTGCTTTAGACACAAAGAAGGATCTAACGCGAAACTGAACGTTAAATTTCAGCCAAAAGAAGAAGACTGACATAGCAGTGAATCAGAAATATATGCCGTGCATTTGAGGAAAACGATTAATTTTTTAATGTAGTTATTTTACAGCCGATTGGAGTAGAATCTGCAACTGAATCTGACGATAACAGTTGCTATGAGGAATCCATCAGAAAATGGAATAAATATGGCTCTCGAGAAGCACAACTGCAACAGTTTAGTAATTAAAATACTCTTCACCAGCATATCCAACAGTAATAATCATGAAATGGATTCAGCCGAAGGATTACGCTGAGTTTCACCCCCTTAAAATTCCAATTTAAACACAAGCTTAAGGACGTACTATCAGTCATCACTGAGATCCTTTTGTGCTTCGCTCTAGTCCAATCCGGTTTAACTGCAGATTAAAAACGAATGACTTTGCAAGAGCGCGCAAACGCCGTCTGAACTATGTTCGACAATTTTGACTATTGAGTTGACATTACGGTACCAGAAACTACTATGTGCGCGAAACGACCGTGTGCCGCACTAATTCGTTTAGCGGACGTGTCTGAAAATCCCCGAGACATGGCAGACATGGTTGATCATCAACAAGGTAGCAACGGCTGTAAATATAAAAACACAAACACTGAATATGACAGACAGGTGACTATCGCATTACCGAGCAGTTGAGTATAAACGCTAATCTGTTGTGGATTACGAATCTTTTGTGGATGCGGTAAATAACTTCTAATGTGGAATTATAAAAATTTTACATTTCGAAATGATCTGACTTGACAGTTTTGTAAAGCGAATAAAGACGATAATAGGATGCAAGTAGAATCGTCACAACAGATTTCAGTAAACTTAACACAGAATATCGAAGAAACGTTCACGAATATTTATGTACTTGATGATATGATAATTCTACAATAATCGTAGCGTATGCTATAGTGAAATTACTGTGGTAATTTTGAGCTTTCTACAGTGGATACTGATTTTAATAGCTTGAAGCATAAACGTTGTTAGATTTCCTAACTGTTTCCAGTTAAATAGGCTACTTGTTCGACAGTATTGGCGCTGTTTCTTCGATTGATGGTCTTATTCGTGCGTATTAACTGGCCAGATCGTCTAGGTATAAGTGTGGTACCTGCAGATGAAAATTTTCGATTTGGGTTGCTTTCACATGGTAACGTTAAGGGCAGTAGAATATGGTTGGGTTTCTGTTTTACTACACCCTATTATATTGAAAGATCTTTTGTTCGTTAAGGTATTCGGTGTGTAATGGTGATGCGCGGTTGAAGAACGCACAGCGCTGTTTATGTGCGCAACCCATCCAGGTTACAGTGGATTGCAGGTTAGTGGTAGCAAGACTGAACTTATGACTGTGGGAATAAAGATGAAAAACTTTTCTTAAGTTATTTACACTCGATAAATCCGTTTCGCAAGGACCAGCTTTCGGCTGGAATTTTCAGTCTTAATAATAAGCCTATGACTGGTTTCCGCACAACAGTCAGTGGACATGCCTTCGTGCATATGGGATTGATGGCCAGTCGCTAAGGGCCATCCAATCACTGTATTCTGATAGCAGATGCGTCACTGTGAATGGCGTTAACTCGAAACCATTCAACGTTCGCCCTGGTCTTCGCCAAGGCTGCGTTCTGTCCCCTATCCTGTTTGCTTTGTACATGGATAGAATAGTCAGGAGCTGCCAAGGCGATGAGTGTATCGGTGTAGGAGATGTGAAGACGAGAAGGTTGCTGTTTTGCAGACGACCTTGTTTTATTGGTATCTTCTGAAACTGATCTACAGTGCTCTCTGGAAAGGTTCGCAGACGATTGCGACGTGGCCGGCATGCGTGTGAACACGTCTAAAATGGAGGAAAGCCTGGTGCTGTCTCGTTCCCCTGCCCGTTGCTCCCTTCAAATTAGCATAGAGGCAGTGAAGCAGATGGAGAAGTTCAACCTCAGTGTTGTGTCTGCCGAAAATGGGATAAAGAACGACCGGCGGATTGGAATATCCAGTGGCGTTCTGAGTAAACTATCCCGAACCGGTGTGACTGAAGACTAAGTTCTCGTGTTCAAGTTGATCTTCATCCCCAAGCTTTCCTACGATTATGAGTTTTGGACCATTACTAATCCCGCGTACAAGCGGTTGAAATGGGCTATCTGAGACGAGTAGCTGGCCATACGTCTCGACATGGTCCGTAATACTGACATCCGGGAGAGTTTTGATGTACAGCCTCTGCTTATCCAGATTGAGAAGTCACAGCTGCGATTGCTTGGGCATATGTTTTCGAATCAACTATTTCTTGCCCAGACGGTGGCTAAGATTAACCTGGTGCAAATGTTTGGTAGGAGTCTGCTCCAGACTGCAGTCTTCTGCCAAAGCTCAGACTCTGGCAGAGGATCGGTAATGTTCGAAGCACTGTCTGACGCGTCTGCCTTTGCGACTTGAAAGAAGGAACGGTCATGGAAGGTGAAGATGAAGATGAAGGTTACTAGCCTTCATCAGTCAAGCAGTGAAGACGTCGATTCCGCTGTTTTTATAAATAGAGCAATTCGATTGCATCTCATTTTTAGTTTTGGTCAACAAGCTTCGTCTTGACTATCTGTAGTCATCGTCGACAGGCACTAACGAAATGGCCGTCTGTTTCGTTCGCTACATCGCTACGGAGTGGCTTTAACATTTTTCGTCTTTTCCATAATCGAATCGAATTCCCTTTAGACATTTGTAGTCCATAGTGCAGACTCATAATATTTTCTCTGAACTCAGTCAGTAAATCTCTTACAGGTCTATTCGACGATGTTCGGTGCCATCGCAGTGAGTCTTATCCACACGAAGTCCATGGCGTGTGTAGTCGTAATATACTGAATGGCCAATTATTTCGTACTTTCTCAATACTTCTTGACCCGCGAAGGCTCGCTTGTACTCAACAATTCTGACTTGCAATGACCGTGATGTATGGCTAGTGTATCTTAGATTGTAGTTCAGGCAATCGATCTGGTTCATCACATCCGTTGAATCTTCAAAGGATATCCCGTCTTTTAATGTCGTTAGAAGTGATCTTGGCTCCCTTTTAGACTTATAGGCAACTGATGTTCACTAAGTTCGTAATCCTGCTGGTAGATTCTGACAGACCAAGAAAGTAAAGTGTGTATGTTGCATGCAAATGCAGGTTCGTTCTTCGGTCTAAGTTTTTATCCCATATGAGCCTCAGTTCTTTCCGGATGAACATTTTTGGATACCCATTTTATACTAGTAGACCGTGAACATGTTTGTTACTTTTCGAGCCCCGATGTCGGAACACAGGTTGTGGGTTCGATCCATTAGGCATTTAACCACTCCGGCCTTAGTGGCCAAATCAGCTGCTTGATTTTTAACCTACGGTGGTGTAGTGAGACATCAGGGCCATTGTGAATCACAGATACTTAGCACAAGCGAAGCGGCGTAAGAATGGTTGCGGTCAAAATTCATTGTAAAATCTGTCTGTCGGTTGAACTCTGAACTGGCAACAGAAAGGTCGCAGCTTAAAATCCCGGCATAAGTGATCTGCATTTTATCCTTCTGCGTGCCACCATGTGTCGGATAGTAGTAAGAATCTGTACTCTGTGTTTGCCACGTAGCGGCAGTGGTTGTTTTATTAAATAAGGCATTTCTGTTGGATGGCATCGAAATGGAGTGCAGCGCTGTAGTATATACTTAGTATGTCGCAAGTGGCAAAGGAAAGTGGAAACGTAAGGGGGTTAGGCTTACCCTCGGATGTCCACTCCTTTGTTTCTTTCGTGAACATGGATTCATCTTATCTCTGTCCTCTAATTTGTGGTATGTCACTCAGAAGTCAAGTCATCAAAAGTCAATATCAAAAACTGCTGTTTGGATAACAGCCCTGCGTGTTTTTCCTCTTTCAAGTTAAAGCTTGTCGTTTGTTCACTTGTGCTACGGTGTAATTATCAGTGACACTAAATATTTGCAAAAGGCAATTTTGTACATTGACAGGAATGAGTTCACGTACAAACAGTTGTGAGAAATTGTGTAATAATGATGTATAATTGTGGTGTTCAAAAGTTTGCTGCTTGAATATGATCAACAGACAAGTCTGTTTTTCAACGTAGGTACAGAAATAGAAGCAGAGCCAAGTAAGTAACAGGTCAATGACACTGAGAACAAATAAGTCAAATAAAACTATGGACGAAGCTGTTATAGCGTAGTTGCTGTGTAGCGGTCACATAAGGCACTAAAAACCAGATTTATTTTTCGATGTTACACCTTGTCCTAATTGTTACTGGATAGACAGCTGTTAGATGGGTCAAGGCGAAGGGTAGCCAGTACGTCTGCTCATATGGAGCAACACGACCATACATTTCTTACTTTCTGGTATGACCATGCGAGAATGCCATGCTGTCCCTGTTATTCGCAAGTCAGCA